TAGGGAAGTCCCCCACTCACACCAAAAACCCATATCCCCCAAAAGCAGAGGCAGGCCACCCTGGACCAGTGGAGGAAAGGTGGACAGAAAGGGGGGCGAGTTGCAAAGGCAAGCGAGATCACCCAGACCATTGGAGAGATGCTTGCTCTGGATAGCCAGCCCTTCTCCCTAGTTGAGCAGCCAGGGTTCAGGCGGTTTGTAGCACTTTTGGCCCCATCTTACAAAGTGCCTGCATGTACCACCTTTAGCCGGATGGGGGTGCCCTCCCTGTATCAGGCATGCAGGGAGTACTTGAAGGAGCAGCTGCGCAAGGCAGAGCCGCAGGTAGCCTTGCACTTCACTTCTGACATCTGGAGCAACCAGGGTGGTGATCACGCTTACCTCTCCCTCACAGGGCACTGGTGCACTCAGTCAGGTCGTCGGTGGGCTCTACTGTAAGTCGACATGCTGGATGAGTCCCACACGGCAAGGGAGATCATGGGGGCCATGAACCGCAAGGTACAGGGGTGGCTCATTGGGCAGGCTGAGCTCACCCGCGGCTTCATGGTCACAGACAATGGGGCCAATATGGTGAAGGCTGTCCATTTTGCCAATTTTGTTGGCATCCTCTGTGTGGCACACAGGCTGCACCTAATAGTGAGGGATGCCTTGGAGAGGGACAGGGCTGCTGGTGACAGCACTGAGACCAGTACTGATACAAACCAGCTGATTTCGAAATGCAGGAAGGTGGCAGGCTATTTCCACCGCAGCATCATGGGGGGCAAGATGCTGCAGGAGAAAGAGCCAGAGCTGAGCATCCCGCAGCACAGAATCATGTGGGATGTGGAACCTCGGTGGAACTCCACATACGCTCGAGAGGCTGGTGGAGCAACAGAAGGCCATCCATGAGACGGCCTTCTTTGGGGAGATCGGGATCAGCGGCCCGCTGAACAGAGCTGAGCGGGATACCATTTCCCAGATGTTGGTGGTCCTCAAGACCTTCCTCGAGGCCACCGAGACCCTTAGCACTGGCCTTACCTGCTTAGCCAGGTGATCCCCCTAGTGAGGGAACTGGAGAACCAAATGGAGAAGTTCCAAGGGATCAATGTTGCTGGCTGGGCCAGGCCACTGTCACTAGACATGCAGGCACTGGTGAGGCGGCTGAAGGAGGGCATCAGGAGACGGCTGGATCCCTTGCGGTCCAGTACAGTCCACATGATGGCGGGCAGGTGCGACCCGAGGGTGAAAGGGAGCATGTGCACTGGCAGCCCCAAAACCCTTGATCACTGGACACAGGTGCTGGTGAACAAAGTCCAGAAGGCTGAAGTGCAGAGGCGAGGGAATGTGGAAGAGGGGGATCCACTTTTCCGTGCCAGCACTCCTAACACCAGCACCGGTACCAGCACCAGCCAGTCTCCTCCATACCAGCCACTGTCAATGTGCGCCATGGACATGGCTTTTATGAGGGCGGT